CACACCTTGTTAGTTAATTTTTTTGTAAAGACAAGGTCTCGCTATGTTGCTCAGGCTGGTCTCTAACTCTTGGGCTCAAGTGATCCTCCTGCCTTAGTCTCCCAAAGTGCTGAGATTAGGTGGGCTTATGTATGGTTCACTGCAAAATTTTTAAAATTTTCCTATATGTTGGACTTCTGCACAAAAATATATTGGCAAAAAATAGAAAAAAGAAAACGTAACATGGCTTGAAAACTATACAGGAACAGAGCAAGAAGAGAAGCAGTAGCAAACATGATTGCAAGGATTTGGCCCAGATGATTATGAAGATGGTACCAATGTGACAGAAAGAGGGATGGGGTGGTGTCAGGAGAAAGATGTCTAGTTCTAAATATGTTTATTTTAAGTGCTAGTAGGACAATCAAAAACAAAGTCTCAAAAGCAGTAAGAAACATAGAAATAGAATTCAGAACAAAAATAAGATAACAAGGACAGCTATAGTAAACTGATAGTTAAAGTTATGAGAATAAGTAACTTCTACAAAAGAAAACAAAAGAATTAGTTGAAACAATTAGAGGGCCAGGAAAAAGAATAGAGATCAGCAAAAGAGACATGCTCTAAAACAGGGGTCTCTAACCCCCAGTTGCAGATTGGTACTGGTCCATGGCCTGTTAATTAGGAACCAGGTGCATAGGAGGTAAACAGCAGGCAAGTGGAGCTCAGCATTCTGTCATATTAGCAGCAGCAATAGATTCACAATGTGAACCCTAATGTGAACTGCGCATGTGAGGGAACTAGGTTGTGTGCTCCTTAGAAGATAATGTTTGATAATTCCCCCTACTCTGCTCTGCCCATCCCAGTTCAGGGAAAAACTGTCTTCTACAAAACCAGTCCCTGATGCCAAAAAAGTCGGGGACCACCACTCTACAAGACTAATAATACTACATTCACTATTTTAAAAGTGAAATTCTACAGTTTTATATATTCTAGATTGGGGGAAAGAGTTGGAGGATGAAAAATTACCTATCGGGTACAATGTGTACAGGTGGGAGTGATAGGCACACTTACAGCCCAGACGGTACAAGGAAGGACCCCCCCAACCCAGAATTATCTATTGGAGGGTAGGCCCCTTGTAGTACACTCAGAAATTGTTCCTCCAGATCAAATGGTCCACCAAAGTTTTTTTTATCTGGAATCACCAGGAAAGTTGTGTCACAATTTGCTGAGGAAAGGTTTGAACAGGTAACTGATTCATCCACCATGACAGTGCACCTGCCCACACCCTGCTGAGTGTTTGGCAGTTTTGGACGAAAAACAGCCATGATCCTCATGCCCCACCCTTCCTATTCACCTGATCTCACCCCAAGTAACTTTTTTTCTGTTTCCTCAATGAAAAAAGTCCTCAAAGGAAACTGCTTTGCCAATGTGGAAACAGAAAATGGCAGAAGCACTAAAAGACCTCGACATTGACAAGTTCAAAAACTATTCTGAGCAGTGGGAAAAGTGTCTCTACAGGGTATTGCATCAAATGGAGAGCACTTGGAAGGTGACTGAAGTTTAAACATGCAGGGATAAACACAAGTTTTTATAAATACATTCTGCTTTTTGGGGGGTCCCCCTCATACAATGCAACCATTTGTACCTTCTAGCACTAATGAAATAAAGAAAAATTTAAAAAAAGAAATAAAAATAAAATAAAAAGAATATATATAAGAAGGAACTTAGGAACTTAATGTTTGAACCCTTATAGACAAGGGAAATATAGTATAAAAACTATTTTAAAAATTATTTATTAGGCTGGGCACGGTGGCTTATGTCTATAATCCCAGCACTTTGGGAAGCCAAGGTGAGAGGATTGTCTGAGCTCACAGGTGTGAGACCAGCCCAGGCAACTTGGCGAGACCTCATCTCTACAATAAATCAAAAAATTAGCAGGGCATGGGGGTGCATGCCTATAGTTCCAGCTACTTGGAAGGCTAAGGCAGAAGGATCGCCTGAACCCAGCAGGTTGAGGCTGCAGTGGCCGTGAGACTCCAACAGAGAGTCTTTTTTTTTTTTTTTGAATTGGAGTTTCACTCTGTCACCCAGGCTGGAGTGCAGTGGCACGTTCACGGCCACCCCAGCATTGACCCTTCCGCTTCAGCCCTCCAAGTAGCTAGAACTATAGGTGTGCGCTACCACGCCCGGCTAATTTTTTGATTTATTGTAGAGATGAGGTCTTGCCAAGTTGTCTGGGCTGGTCTTGAACCGTAGGCTCAGGCAATTCTCTCGCCTCAGCCTCCCAAAGTGCTGGGATTAGAGACTTGAGTCACCGCATCCAGTTAACAGTTTTTTTTTTTAAAAATTGATTAATAGTATTTCATTGCACAAATATACCACAAATCGTTTATCTATTCTCCTGTTGATAAAGATGTGGGATATTTCCAGGCTTGTGCTATTATGAACAAAGCTGCCATGATCATTCTCATAAAGTCTTTTGGGGACATATGTTTTCATTTCTCTTGAGACAATACCTCATAGGAAAGTGCCACAAGTTCTTCAAGATGTTCACGTAATTTTACATCCCCACCCACAATAAATGAAAGTTCTAGCTGCTCTAAAATTTCATCAAATTTTGGTATTGTCAGTATGTTTGACTTTAGCCCTCCCAATGGGTGTGGATGGTATCTTTAGCTCTCTTAGTGTGCAAAGGTTACTGTTTCTCTTCATTCTTTTCAGTCTTTTTTTGTTACAGTCATTCTAGTGTGTGTAAAGTAGTATCTCATTGTGGTTTGAATGACTAATACTTTTTGGTATCTTTTCATATGTTTATTGGCCATTTGTATTTTTTTTTGGTGAGAAGCCTATTTAACTATTCTGCCTATTTTTAAATTTGGTGTCTTATTGTTGAGTTGTAAGCAGTTTTTTTACAGAATCTGAACATAACTCCTTTGTCAAATATATATTGCAAAGTCTGAGCATGTCTATTCTTTTTTAATGATTTTTTTCACAGCGAAGCCCTGGAATTCTAAAAAGGCTAGAACCCTGGAATCTGTACTTCCATTTTTGTTTTGTTTGGTCTTTGTTTGTTTGTTTTTGAGTCAGGGTCTCACTCTATCACCCAGACTGGCATGCAGTAACAGAATCACAGCTCACCACAGTCTTAAATTCCTGGGCTCAGGCAATCCTCCCCCCTCAGCTTCCCCAGTAGCTAGAACTATAGGCATGTGCCACTCCACCTAATTTTTAATTTTTGAATAGGTTTCTCTATGTTGCCCAGGCTGGTCTTGAACTCCTGGGCTCAAGCAATCTTCCTGCCTCAGCTTCCTCCCAAAGTGCTGGGATTGTAGGTGTGAGTCACTGTGTCCTGCCCTTTGTCTCTTCATTTTTTAATGGTGTCTTTTGATAAGTAGAATTTAAATTTTAAAGTATAAAATATCAATTTTTTCTTCCATAGTTTTTATTTCTTATGGTCTACATAAGAAATCTTTACCGATCCCAAAGTCATGAAGATACTTTCCTATATTTTCTTCCAAAAGGTTTACTGTTCTAGCTTTTATACTTATGTCTTTGATTCACCTGAAATTAACTATGTTTTAGGAAGCAAGGTATAGTTGAGGTTCATTTTTCCATATGAATATCCAGTTGTTCCAGCACCATTTGTTAGAAAAACTTTCCTTTCCTCATTGAGTTGACTTGGCACTTTGGTTGAAAATCAAGTGACTACATACGTGTTTGACAATTTCTGGATTTTCTATTTTGTTCCACGGATCTATTTGTCCATCCTTATGCCAATACCAAACAATCTTCATTGTGTTGTTTTATAGCAATTCCTCAAATCTAGTAACCTATGCCCTAAAACTTTGTTTTTGGTTTTTTTAAAGGTTGTTTGGCTAACTAGAGCCGTTGGTTATCATATGTATTTTAGAATTGGCTTGTCAAATTCTTCAAAACTGGCCATTAGGATTATGATTGGAATTGTACTGAATCTAGATATGAATTATAGACAGGGACATCATTAACAAAATTGTGACATCCAATCTATGAACACAGTATATCTCATCAATTATTATAGATCTTCATTAATGTCTTTCAATGATGTTTTGTACTTTTCAATGTTGAGAATCTGCACATTTCCAGTAGATTTGTTCCATGATATCTAATTTTTTGTGCCACTGTAAACAAAATTTTAAACAATTCAACTTTTAACTGTTTGACCCTATAAAAACTGTTAATATTGTTGAACAAAATACATAGAAATTCTGCTTACTTGTTTTTATTGATTTGAATTCAATATAAGGTGGCTATCAGGAACATCATTTTAAGTCACTCATTTTTTTCTACCAATTAATAAATATTTTCTGATTACTGATACAAAACAAATGTAAATTGTATTCATCTGCATTCTGTGCTCAAGATGAAAATAGAACAATTTTATATGAATAAGCTTTATATTTATTTATAAAATTATACTATTAAATAGAATCTATAACATATAAGATAGATAAGCACTATTTTATGATGATTTTTAGAAAAAATAATTTTTCCTCTAAGCAGTAAAAAGTGTGTGTGTGTGGAGGGTATAGTAAAGACTTTCATTGAGTTTCTACTGTTACTGCTATTGTAAATTGCTAAGGAATAGCCACAGATACTAGCGTATCTATTATAGTGTACCTGAATTTAAATATATTTTTGAAAATTCAACAGACATGATAAAGCTACTTTGTGTACCTTGTGTGTCTAATTTATTGAATATTTATTTAGAATTTTAAAGGTATGTCTTCAAATACATATGTCAATGTATTTTTATTGATTTTTTTAAAAAGAACTATGCAATCGACAAAAAAGAGAATTGAAATCTCTCATGGGATTAGATGTAATGACAAAATTACCATAGTTAGTTGATTAAATCTCCACCCACTGCTTATATACTTCTCTATACTACAGTTTGTTTAGGATTTTGGAAAACCCACTATCTAAGCAAGAAGAACAAAAAGAGATAAAAAAAATAAGTATGGTATGAAAGATTTCTGAATTTCTACCTCCATCTTCACAGTCTTCAGGGGCTTTGGCTTTCTTACAAAGACGAGGATCCAACCAGGTGGTTGTCTTGGTATTGTGGCTGTAGAATAAAGATTTCAATTAGAAACAGTAAGATAAAGGAGAAAAGTATTTCAAAAGTAAAGATTAAAAGTGACTAAAAGGCATAGGATGTTTGAACATTATAATCTCCTGCAGGCTCCATTTGTATACCTCAAATTCATTAATCCTGTTGCTCTCTCTACTCCCAGACTGCTATAAAGGAAGGGTAAAGCTAGAGGCACTAATTTGAGAATGAAGACTTTAAAGAAGGCCTAAAATGCCAGGTATAGGCAGTTGAAAATGTACCAGAAAGTGGGCGCATAACCACGTACTGTGCATTATCTAGCCAAAAATACTGCATTGAAAAGTTTGCTTGCTGGCTGGCTGAATTACTTCCTCCCTCTCTTCAAAATATATTATATTTCTTGAGTGCCTATGATATATATGCACTGTGCTGGGAGCCGAAATATAAAGAAAAACAAATAATTAGATAGCACCCCTGCCCTCCCAGGGTCTCTTTAAGACAGAATAATTTTTTAAAAAAGTTTTAAAGTGGCTGTTTCTGCCACATGCAAGTAAAAATATGGGTATAGCTAAACTCTACTCTACAAAACTAAGTTTTCATCAGCATGGACTAAACAGGAGAAAAAAGCAGAACAAAAATATTCTTCCTCTGCCCCTTTTTATGAAGTAGGCCAAAGACGCCTTTGAGTGCAATGTCTATTTAATTTCATTGTAGGTCACAGTGCCAGACCAGGTCATCATACAGCAGATAACTAATGCTAAAACAAAACTATCACACTGCTGAGTAGACAGACAGTGTTAGTTAGTATCTGAAATGCAAGAATAGTAAAGAAAGAAAAAGTCATGAAAGAAAATATATAGGAAGGCAACAAAGTGTAAATTATCAGAGTACTGTGAGAATAACAACTAAGGTGAACAAGTTACCTTTCCTGGATGTGTTTAACGCAAGATAAACTCACTGATTTCTACCTTGACTACTCTTAGGAAATGAAGCCAATGGTTTCAGGGAATCAATCATATGTTCTAAACCTTTTCTAGTCCCTGAGCTACTTACAGAGTTATGTAGCCATCGCCATGTATGATACTAGTTGGTAGAATGTGGTAGAAACACTTTTTTTTGTATGTTGAATAATGGTAACTGCTGTAGGAAAAACTGAAATTGTTCCTAGTAAGTCTGTGTTACTGACTCTGTCAGAGAGATAATCTCCCCAAACTAAAACTCGTGAAATCTATTTTAGCAAAATGAAAGGATCAGGACTCAAAGAGGCATAGGGACACACAGATTGTTAGGGGAAAACGAAAACCAAAACGCAGCAATGTGAAAACATCTGGCTAACCCAAACTACAAATTGCTACTTGAGAAAAGCTTAACTTTGGTTTCAGTAATTCAAAATTGTATTGCTAAATTAGCAGATGCAGGCAATTCTCTCAAATTCTAACCAATATTTTCCAAGGAAACAAAATGCCCACAGGCGCTATTCCCAAAACATAGTAACTGAAGACTATAGACCTAGATCAATTTTTCTCATAGTTGCAGGTTTTAACAGCAGCAGCAACACAGAACAATCATATCAACTATACAGCAAACAAAACAGCAGCAAATATTCAACTACATTCTATATATTAACCCCTTATATTTATATATGATTTGCAAACATTTTCTGTGCTGTAGGCTGCTTTTTCACTTTGTTGACTGTTTCCTCTGCAGAAGTTTTAAAGCTCAGTGTAGTCCCATTTATCTGTTTCTGCTTTTGCTGCCTGAGCTTTTGGTGTCACATTCAAGAAGTCCTTGCTGAATCCACTGTCATGAAGCTTTTCTCCTATGTTTTCTCCTAGGAGTTTTATAGTTTCATGTCTTATGGTTGGGCTTTAATCCATTTCAATAATACTGCACTATAAAGACATTTATTTTTATAAATTCTCCCCCTCCTTTAATGCACTAATTTATCCTTGTTAGCAGGGTGAAGTACTGTCAGATTCAATGTCTCATAATCTGTTTCTAAAGATATTTTAGCCACTTCTGATGAGTCTACACCTTACTTTGGGGTTTAGTTCTAAAGTCAGCATGAAAGTTCAAAGTCTAAATTCCCCTGAAAAACCTTTTAAGTTGTCCATAAAGAAATGTATACCTGGTTGTGCCTGTTTTGTATAATCCTGGTCATTAATGTTTAAATAAATGTATAAAATAATCAATAACGTGCCATATATAGTAAAAAGAACACTATGCACACAAAAATCTGTCTTTTAACACTAGAATCCTACTTGATACAGCAAGATGCTCACACTGTGGGAAGGATGTAGAATTGGGACCATTTGAGGAAAAAGATTCAAGTCTTGTACCCCTAATTCATTTCTGAAAATTTTATGCTCTTTAAGTATAGTGGCCAGCTCTCATTATTTTAACTCTTATTTAGTTGTTATATTTTATAATTTCATTACATGAACAGTCTACTGTTGGGCAAATTACTTTAAAGGCAAGAATTATAGCTACATGAGGATATAAAAATTATTCATAATCAAACTTCCAATAATTTATTTACATGATACTATCTCTGGTACAAACAACATACAATTTTAGGTTGCTCTAATACATGTTGTATTCAGTATCTCTGTATAAATATCATTTTAATAGTGATTTTCCATAAAAATAGTTTTGTTTTTTTGTAAACTTATATCACACCAATTCCTCTGAGGACCAGTGATATTTTCCTCCTATATCATTTAACTATATTGCCTGAATACATCAAATCCAAACTCTAGGACTGAAAATACTTAGCTCAGATAATAACATGCCATAAATGATGATAATTCTTGAATTGCTCATTAAGTTGGACAATCTTCCTAAAAGTTAAAAAAGCAAAAGCAAAGCAAAATACCAATTATTCCTTATATTTTTCATCATTAGTGATGAATCTGTTTTTAATCCTCCTTCTTTTATAAAACCAGAGGTCAAATACATTATTTCTTTATCCAAGTCAAATAAAAATGAAATGTCATCCAGAGAAGTAGATTAAGAATCAACTGTCATTTTTATGAAAAATATTTGTAAAGAAATTAAATGAAAGTCTTGTGAAAAAGGCACATGTCCAAAATGAGGTTTAAAAAGTTTAGACAATCCTCACAGTGACAGGGCATGTCAGAAGAGATGCAGACATTTGCTTACTCAATAAAGTAGATCATCCCTGTGTCAGTGTAGGCCATTTCCCAGTTTTTGGGCAGTGGTTCCAGAGTCTCATCTCTCATCATATAATTTCTAAAGTCCATGGAGCTATTTGTTTGATTGTAACTTGGAACAGTCTTCATCCAATCAGATGACTCAGAATGCCTCTCTCTGTTTTCTGCCATTGTTCAAAACAGAACATCATAAAAATATGTAAAGTTACACTCTTCTTCAAACAGTTGTCTTCATTTCTAACAAAATGTCAAATACATAAATATTGCATATTTCCTTTTATGTTTTCTATAAATCTTGAAATAACAAAAGAACACATTCAATTCTTTTCACTTACTAATTAACAGATGCTAGTCTGGGAAAGAAGAAAAAAACAGCACTAGAGTCAATTCAGTATAAATTCTAACAGGTACAGCAGCTGCAACAGTCCTTATGCAGTCCTCTTATCTATATTAAGTGCTTTACATATAGATACTCACAGCAGCCCTGTGAGTATCTATTGTCACTATTTCCGTTTTATAGACTGAGAAAACTAAGGTACAGACAGGTTAAGTTAACTTAATCGAGATTACACAGCCAGTAAACAGCAAAGCCAAGATTTGAAACTAAGGGGTCCATGCTCTTAACTGCTATACTAAGCTGACAAATACACACTTAACACAAGCCTTTAAATAATAGCAATTTTAAAACATTACACTCAACACAGTTCCTATAGTTTAAGTAGAATTCTCTTAAAATCCGCCTACAGCCCCAAAGCCCATAATATAAGAATAAGCTTTAAGAATACTAAAATTTGGTTACTGTCTAGGGACTTCATAATTCATTCACCTAAAACGTGTTTCTACACCTTAACAGATACTACATAAGCCGGGCTCGGTGGCTCAGCCTGTAATCCCGCGCCTTTGGGAGGCTGAGGTGAGTGGATTGCCTGAGCCCGCGGGTTCGAGACCCGCCTGGGCAGTGAGACCTCATCCCTACAATAAATCAAAAAAAAAATCAGCCGGGCGTGGTAGCGCATGCCTGTAATTCCGGCTACTTGGAAGGCTGAGGCGGAAGGATCGCTGGAGCCCAGCAGGTCGAGGCTGTGGTGGCCGGGAGCAGCCACTGCACTCCAGTCTGGGCGACAGAGTAAGACTCCGACTCAAAAAAAAAAAAAAACAGATACTACATAATATCATTGTAAGAACTACAAGCTGTAGGAAATGCCCCCAGAATCACAGAATCTTAGAAGGCATCACAGATATCATCCCCTCTACTGCTTCAACGTCCACCATTCTTTATTCAGCCAAGTCTTACAATCCATTCATCCTACTGCTAACTGCCTTTCACTAGTCCCGTCCCTCCAACCATGTCCTCGTTGCCCTGCAAATTCAACTTAGATTCCATGATCAACCACTGCAATCACACCCTTGTCAACATTCCTAATTCCTTTGTCCTGATCCAACTTATCGTACATGCCTGGCTAACCCATAACCCTTAATCCTACTCTCCACCTGCTCCACAGTAGCACATGCAGCTAGTTCACTTTAGATTCATCATCACTAACCTCAGGTGGGCATTTAATGATGCATGACAATCATGGTATATTTCTTTAGTCCATCGCTCTGACACTCCTAGGTATTTTCTACCTTCCCTCTCCTTAAATCATCTACTACTTTTCCCTTGTCCTGAATCACATTTGATGACTTTGGCTCCTATTTTACAAGAAGACAGAAACAAGCAGAAGAGAACTTCCACAAACTCACACCATTGCCTCTACATAGCAACTGTGCCCACCTACTCTACCATCTTTTACTATGGAAGAACGTCTGTGCTCCTAGCTAAGGTTAACCCTCCAATTATAAATTATATCCTAACCCCTCTTGCCTTCAGTGATTCTTTCCTGCATCACCAATCTTCTCTGTTAGATAATATTCATCCACATAAAACCATGCTATTTCTCTGTTCTTTAAAAAGGAAAAAAAGAGTTCTCTTTCCCCTCTGGTAATCATCCCATTTCTCTCCTCTTCATACCAAACCACCTTGAGAGTTTCTACTTGCTACCGCCACTTCCACTCTTCCAGTTCTCTCCAGACTTTACTCTAACAAAGCTTTCTAAACTGTTCTTATCAAGGACACCAATAACCTCCACATCGCTGCATCCGATGATCAGTTCTCAGTTCCCACCTCCCTTGAGCTCTCAGTAGATCTGATCATTTCTTCCTTGCACACTCCTATCTGGTATCTCTGCTTCTGCCCATGCCTCCCTACTGCCTGTTCTCAACACAGGAGCCAGGATGAGCCTGTTAAAACCTGTTGTAACATGTTACTCTTTGACTCAAAACCCAATAGTGGTTTTCCCATCTAAGAATAAAAATCAAAATTCTTCCAATGACCTATATAGTATGCATTCCTCCCTTCCACACCTGCCATCCTGAGCTGGCAGATCTCTTTGGTTACTATTCTATTTTGTTGTCTTACATCACTCTGCACCAATCCCACTGGTTTCCTTAATTAATATTTCAGGCATGCTCTCACCTCAGGGCATTTGCACTTAAAGCTCCTTCTGTCTGGAAGGCTCTTTGCCCACATCTTTTGATCTCACTCACCTATTTCAAGTCTCTTCTGCCTCTTTATCTAAAATTGCAAATCTTGACCACAACTTTTTCATTTTAACTTTCTTTGGAGTCGAAGTCTCACTCTGTCACCCAGGCTGGAGTTCAGTGGTACAACTGTAGCTCACGGCAGCCTCAAACTCCTGGCCTCAAGTGATCCTTCCAGCTCAGCTTCCCAAGTCACCAGGATTATAGGCATGAGCCATTGTGCCTGGTTATACCACCATTACTGCTTACCCATCTCCTTCTCTCTTTACCACCACCTAACACATAATCTCTGTATTCCCTTATGTTGGCCAATTCTATCTCTCCCACCAGAAGGTAAAGTCCATGAGGACAAGGTTTTTTGGTTCGCTTTGTTCACTGCTTTATTCCCAGAATTTAAAACAATGGCGAGCACTTAGCAGCCTAGCAGGGGCTCAATAAATATGTGCTGGGTGAATAAATGAATGAAACACATGATTTGTTTTATATGCATAAAAAGTGATAAAAATTAAAAGGCACCCAATGTATAAATCAATCTGTAATGGAGTTATATTCTTAGGAAATAAGTATGTGGGAGAAAAGGGAAAGCAAGTATACCCGTTATAATACTTTTCTTAATATAGTTCCAAGTCATTGAATAATGAAGCTTGCTTAATACCTAATGACTTGAGAAAATGTTGTCTACACAACACCAACTCTGGCGGGAAAAAAAAGTTAGCATTATTATATAACCTGTGGCTTCCTATGTGGCCATATTAGCATTCTTGTGGGTTACTTCTCCAACAAAATGCAAAATAATATACATATTGATATATACAAATACTAGGAGGGGCCCCACAACACCAGAATTTGTTTATACAAAATTGTGTATTCTTGCATGTTTAAATTTCAGTCACCTTTGAAGTATTCTTCGTTTGATGCAACACGCCTATCAAGACACTTTTTCCACTGCTCAAAACAGTCTTTGAACTTGCAATTCTGACGCCTTTTAGTGCCTCTGCCGTTTTTTGCTTCACCTCTTCCACATCAGCAAAACGTTTCCCTTTGAGGGCTTTTTTCATCAGGGAACAAAAGCAAAAGCAAGTCCCCAGGGGCCAAACCAGGTGAACAGGGAATGTGGGGGCATGGGGGTCATGCCACTTTTGGTCAAAGACTGCTGAATGTTCAGCGCAGTGTGGGCAGGCGAGCCTGCAAATCGCCCATCATGAGCTAGGCAAACACACGGAAAGAATCTCCAAAAACCAAAAAAATCACTGAAGTGAATGAAGCCTTTCACAACCACACTAGCTGGGACACTGATGCTGATGGGTTCTTAGGACATTTACCTAGTGGGCGAAGCCTGAACTCCAAGGGACAGGTCTCCAAAAAAATAAATATATACAATTCTGGGGGTTTGGGGGTTCCCCCTCGTAACTCTCTACCTACCCTCCCGTAGTCCCCAACGATTTTCTGATTTTTCAAGGCAGGGATTCTAGTCCTTGAAAGTAATACACAAAGTACACTTCCCCCAACTTTGAATAAGTTAACAACTACAGTCCCTACTTACTCAGAAAAGATGGTTTTTAGGTAGGTGTTTTGTTATGGTTTTTATTTAAATATCTTGAATATTTTCTCTTACAAAGAAATATAAATGTTCTATAGTATCTATACACAAGAGGTAGCATACAAACTATCTCTCTCATACTTTTGAATATACTCCATTTAAATATTAAATCAGTGCTGGGTGCGGTGGCTCAAGCCCGTAATGCCAGCACTTTGGGAGGTCAAGGCGAGAGGATTGCCTGAGTACAGGGGTTTGAGGCCAGCCTTGGCAACTTGGTGAGACCTTGTCTCTACAATAAATCACAAAAATTAGCCGGGTGTGGTGACGTGCATCTGTAGTTCCAGCTACTTGGAAGGCTGAGGTGGAAGGATCGCCTGAGTCCAGCAGGTCGAGGCTGCAGTGGTCATAAGCATGCCACTGCACTCCAGCCTGGGCAACAGAGTGAGACTCTGATTCAAAAAAAAAAAGTTGTTCATCTACTTACGAACCTGTGTTGCCACTGCCATTAATAGCTTCCTTGTCCTCATCCTCTTCCTCTTCAGGAAGAGAGCTGTCCATTCTTTCCATCTTGCTGACAGATGTAGTTCGTTTCCTTTGGGATTCTGTGTCAAAGTCATTATCAAAGAGGACCTGATCAACCGGATCCGGTTGAAAAGGGCTGGGTTCTGCTGGAGGCTTGGGAGTTCCATAGAAGTTTCCTGAAGTAAACAAAATTAACAGCAGCTAAAAGTACTAACATTGACTGGAGAGTCAGAGCAATATGAACAAGTATGTTTCTGCCCTGTTTCAAAGTATCTGTCTATCATTGGCCAAAAAGAGACCACAGCACTCCTTCTTGGGAGAGCAGGCAAAGAAATAGGGGAAATAACTCATTTCTCAAGTGCCCATCATCATATATTATCTAACATTTTAACACTATCTGTGTTAAGGCCAGGAAGCTGACGTTAAGTGTGCAGATTATTTATTCCTACAGGGCTTGCTTTACATGGATCTAATTTGTGAATTTAAAAAAGCATCAGTGCAACTAACTAAAAAAATTTTGTTCTAACACATAACATAACAAGCTCTTTTGGTAAAATGAGGAAGTATGTGAGCAAAGGTTAAGCCAAGAACGGATACAATGTGTAAAAATGTAGGCTATTTATGTAAAGGTAATTTTTAAAAGTTTTTCCCATGGGTTCAAGACCAGCCTGGGTAACTTGGTGAGACCTCATCTCTACAACAAATGAAAAAATTAGCCTGGCATGGTAGTGCGTGTCTTTAGTACCAGCTGCTTGGAAGGCTGAAGCAGAAGAACTGCCTGAGCCCAGCAAGTCAACGCTGGCGTGGCTGTGAGAGTGCTACTGCACTCCAGTCTAGGAGACAGAGTTTTTCTGAGCATTCTGCTATGTTCTCTAACAATTTACTGAACAAATAGAGACACTAGCAGTATAATTCAATATTGGTTTACTTTCAGGAAAGCAAGAAATACTTTAATTTTCTTTTGAGAAACAATCAGTAATTTTCGTAGTAAAAGTAAATGTTCCAGAATAGAATGAAATGACTGAGTATCTTATCAATTTGTCATGGAGTTCCCATTAGGCAGCCAAATACGATGGGAAAACACTCAACATGTCAGGCTACAAAACAGCTACTAGTTTTGACCTTGTATCAATCATTATGCTAATGTTATAGAAATATATATGTGGTTAGAGATTAAAATACTTGTGATTTTTTTAAAAATCACATCTTCTAATCAAATTACTTGGCTCCTCAGGAGCTAATTAAGATGCTCGTTCACCTAAGGTAAATGAATGAGGTAGATAATGAATTTTTTTTCTAGATGGAAAAAAACAAACAAACATAGGTTCTTCTTCATAACACTGAATCTAGAAATAACATAGTTTATCTTAAATTGTAAATGCTTTGCGAGGAAAAACATTAAGATGAATTTTTTTGGAAATTTGATTTTGAGTCATTTAAACTGTTCAAGAAAAAACAATAAAATCAAACTTAAAAAAACTTTTCAACAACATCCTGTCTCTCCCCCATCAACTACTCACTTGCTTCCACATTCATGTTTAAAATAGAATACCCTGTGCAAATGGATGCAAATATTCATGTGAAAACACTAAACTTTCTGGCACATAGTAAAGCAAAGAGTCCATGAAAAAGCCCATTCACACTTCTCTGGTGTAGGGGACGCTGAAATACTCCAAAGGAAGGTTTGGTTGGGGGAAAAGGATGTTCTAGCATCTCTATTTCCTGAATTATGCCCAATAATCACACTAGGAAACTGGATGTGCCATGAGAGATAAAAAGGATGATAGTAGTACTACTAGAAACACATTTTACTGTGAATTCTTTGTAATTATCATCTAACTCTAGAAAGTTTAACTTTTTCTAAGGGGACAATTTTTAAATGAAGGATATGATGACTGCCATCCATAATCATTGAACAGATTTTAGGACTTCATATTAATTTTTGGCAGTTTCTTGACCATTATTGGGCTTAGATTAAAAAATAAAACTAGCATTGCACATAAATAAATTAGATCTATTTTTCTTGAGTTATTGCTAAGTATCAAGATTTCAGATACAGCAAGGTATAAAATTCCAAGGTTTGTGAACCCTGACTATAGTTATTGATGGAAAAAGTTTTAAATCTTTTTAGAGCTGGTTCAAAGTATTGTTGTTATTGTTTTTTCTTTTCTGGACGCTTTTTTTCTTTTTTTCTTTCTTTCTTTTTTTTGTGAGTTGAAGTCTCACTCTGGTACTCAGGCTGGAGTGCAGTGGCATGCTCACAGCCACCACAGCCTCAACCTGCTGGGCTCAGGTGATCCTTCCGCCTCAGCCTTCCAAGTAGGTGGAACTACAGGCCTGTGCTACCACATCCAGGTAATTTTTTGATTTATTGTAGAGATGAGGTCTCACAAGTTGCCCAGGCGGGTCTCGAACCCCTGGGCTCAGATAATCTCCTCTTGCCTCAGCCTCCCAAAGTGTTGGGATTACAGGCTTGAGTCACCTCGCCCAGCTGGCTTTTTCATTTTTACAGTGGAACTACCAACTATTAAATATTTCAAACACATAAAAAATTACAGACCATAGTATCGGATTAGTATCAGAAATATCTATTTTAGTTACATAAAGTTACTTACATAAATATATGTACATTTATTTATCTATATACACACCATCTAGAGATTAACTATTGCTGGATTTCTTTTTGATCTTCCTTTTTCCTCTTTAAGGACATACATATATGGTCACATACATAATTAAGCCCTAACTTCCAGTCTCCATCCTTCCCACCCCCTCCCTGAGCTGCCCTAAAGTTAGTATGTGCTATTCTCCCTGAATATCGTATATATCTAAGGCATATGAATACACATTCATAACATATACATATTATTTTCATAAAAACTACAAGGTATTTTACAACATTTCACATACTTTCTATAAATAGTATACTGAAATATCATTTGTAACCTTCTTTTTATATAACTATACTTCTAAGACTTACTCATGTTGGTACATATAAATCTAGTTCATTCAACTGCTGTATAGAAGTCCATTTTTATGAACAAATTAAAATGTATTATATTCATTCTCCTACTAAAGGAGAGTTGTTTTCCTTCTGTCACTGTTGCAAACAGTACTGCAATTCTGGCACATGTCTACATATGCATATGGGTCATGGTTTTTCTTGAGTAGAAAAAGAAAAGAGAGCCAGGCTCGGTGGCTCAGCCTGTAATCCTGTACCTTTGGGAGGCTGAGGTGAGTGGATTGCCTGAGCCCGCGGGTTCGAGACCCGCCTGGGCAACTTGGCGAGACCTCATCTCTACAATAAATCAAAATGAGCCGGGCGTGGTAGCACATGCCTGCAGTTCCAGCTATTTGGAAGGCTGAGGAGGAAGGATTGCTGGAGCCCAGCAGGTCGAGGCTGCGGTGGCTGGGAGTGAGAGTGAGACTCCAATTCAAAAAAAAAGAAAAGAGAAGGTACTGCTAGGTTGGAGTTATATATACCTTACTGGCTATTGCCAAGGTGTTCCCCAAAGGGACTGGACCATTTATACCACACCAGCAGTGTACAAGAATTTCCATTTCTTGCAATTAGCAGACTTTAAACTTTTTGCCAATCTGGTAAATATGAAATGATGTATAATTGTTGTTTTAATTTCTATTTCCTTTGAGTTGATCACACAGTAATTAATACCATGTAATACATCATTCTGTCACATGCCAAGTTCTTATACTTAATTGGAGAAAATGCAGACTATCTTTGTCACATAAGGGCAGAGGACTTCTCAAGCAAAACCTCAAAAGCACAAATCATAGGAAGCAGTGATAAAACTAATATATAAAAATTAAGGATTTCTGAAAAACCACAGCACAAAACTCACAGTTGCCAGAATGGGAGAAAATATCAATGAGATTAATATCTAAACATCTAAGCAACATCTGCAAACTGGAATGTGATTGGTATCCTACTTTAAAAAAAAATGGACAGAGAACATGAATGCCCAATTTTCAGAAGTCCCAAAGAAAAATAAGCTTATAAAAAGATGTTCAAACTCTCTGACTACCAGGGGAACTAAAATGTAAACGAGATACCGCTTCTATAATCATTAGATTGGCAAAACTACAAAAGTAGATAGTGCCGAGTATTGATGAAGATTTCAAGCCATTACTGTAGCTCTCATGCACTGCTAGGGACAACATAAATTGGAAAGATATCCAAAATATCTCTTCAAATTAACTGTGTGTGTATGTTTACATATAAACAACTCTGCTCTTGGGAATATATTCCACAGACATTCTCACACAGGTCTATAAAAAAGCCACGTGAGAATGTTCCCTGCAGCTTTATCTGTGGTGATGAGGGAGGATTAGAGGCAATCAGGGAGACCATTACTAGGAGAATATGGAGTCCTGCAGCAGTTAAAAGCAATGGATGATACTGTAAATACAGCATAGCAACCAACACAGATGATTCTAAAAACAGTAATAAATGAAAACAGTAAAAAACGGAATGAGATACAGATCACAATTCCGATGGAAATAGTAAATATACACACACAAGAACACATTTTATAAGAACACATACAAACAAAATTGTATATATTAAACATATCAGAATGGTTAATGATAAGAGGGAGCTATTTCCATAAAGTGAAAACAAATAAGCAGCTGTCATTTCCTGTGAACAACTTCACTGGTCACTTTATCTAAAGAAATATTCTTGTTATTTTCTTTAAATCCTTTGTTTTTGTTTTCTTCGTAATATCTCAGTTTATAGTTATTTTGTTCGTTGGTTTTTGATCACCTTCCCCACTAGGATTTACTAAAACAGTATCACTTCACTCTTGTTCATCACAGTATCCCTAGGTCCTCTAGGAGGTACTTAATAATGGTTGCTGAATTAATAAAACAGGATTAAATCAATTAATAAATAAACGAATCATGGGAGCTAAGCCCAGAAAGAGTAGCTAGGTCAAACTTAGCAGGCAAAAGGAAATCACTAAAGGTTCTGAACAGGAAAGGGACACTATCAGAGCTATACTTGAAGACTAGCATGAAAGCAATGGGCAGGGTGGATTGGACAGAGGGAATAAATTGGAACAAATGAGATCAGCTTGTGATAGTCCAGAAATGAGCTCTTCTAGTGGGACCACAATGAGGCAGAGAAAGTAAAAAAAAGGGGGGGGGGCACTGTAAAAGTGGCTGCAAAGGAAGAAAGACACAATTTGGTAACTGGCTAGATATGAAATTAATATTTATTCAATAAAATTGAAAAAAGGAGAAAGTAAATGATGATTCTACTGTTTTGAGATCATAGTGCTGCTAAAGAGAAAAATTATGAAGAACTGTTCTTTTGGAAATAACACAAAAGCATATTGGACATGATGATTCTAGTGTTCAGAATATACTTATTGAACACTATCTCTAAGCACTGAAGATAATATCAAGTAAGAAAGACATGATCACTACTACCACAGTGCCTGGGAAACAGCCAATTCTAATAGCATGATAAGGCAACGACGGAAGGGTACAGGGTACTTGTGGGAGTGGATAGGCTTACCAGTGAAGATTATGTTAAATAAGGGAGAAAAAAATGGACCTAACACAGAATCATTTAAAAATGGAAGTTAATATATATTTCCTGGAATCAAGTGGGCAAAGAGAACAGACATATGAAAAGATTACCAATTACTGCTTTTAAAAAAAAAAATCTACATTCTCTTTTCTCCCAGATAGTCAAGATACATATAGATTTTTTAAAGTGTACAGATTTTGGATTCTCAACCACAAATAGAAAGCAATCAAAAATATTCATTGAATTCATATGCATATTCTATGAAACATGTAAACTAGCCAGTTTGGCTAATTTTTAGTATATTGTACACAATCAACTTTACAATATAGTAAAGTGTTTTTGCTTATTGCTTGATCCCATTTTAATTAGTAAATTACAAATCTCCCCATCAAACAAAATTTCCCAAAAACAGAGAGGAAAGAAACCTTTTCAAAAAGTGGTATTTTACTGATCAAATTCCCTCTGAAGTATGTTCAGTCATTCAGATCATTTTCTGGATGCTGCTGTTAGTATTGGGGGACATACCATCATATGTTCCACTTTCTAACAATGCTCCACTCTCTTCCAGTGCTTTGAACTGTTCAACAGAAATGAAATTATAGTCCACTCCTGGTACTTCCCCATCCCTGGGGGCCCTTGTAGTACCTAAGGGGGAAAAAAAAAAGCCAGTTGTAAAGTGCTTTCATGCTTACAAAATATTCAGAGTAACATAATATTCAGGCTACAGAAAACACACGGGAGACAGAGACTACTGAATATATTGTATCTGCTAGAAAAAGGATGAGAAAATTTCAGGTAACTTAATATTACTAGGTGAAAGTAGGCTAATAAATAATGCAAACTGAGTAAATATACTTTAATACAATCTAAAGATAACCAAGAAATTCAAAACTACAAAAATTCTAAAATAATTTTTGTGCCAAAAGAGGCTTAACTTTCCGAGACACAATAGTTAATTCTTTAGAAACTTCTATTACATTACTTGACAACAAAGAGTCTACTACTGATAGACTTCATTCCCCTTCACACAACTGAATTTGGGTATAACTAACAAATAAAAATTGTATATACTTACAGTGTACAACATGATGCTTTGATGTAAATGTATACATTGTGGAAGACTTCATTTTTAAGTAGTTATCCCTATGCATTTTTCTCTTTCCTAGCATAAATGCAGACTAATATTCTACTTACTTGAGTTGTGAAAGACAATAAAAATAGAAAAATAATTTTTATAAGTTCTTTTAATAAACTTTTTTAAAACTTGAAAAAAAAATTATAAAGCTTTTATACTAACAATAAATGGTTTAAGATAGATATTCAAATATTGCTTCCTAGCCATATATGTAATTTTAAGTAATCTCCAAAAATCAAGCATTATGTAAACAGTTTTATAAAATTGAGTACAGCTTCACTCAATTTCTGTATATTAAGGAATTCATGCTAAAGTAAAATCTTTCTTTCAACTCCAAGGTACAAATTCAGGTTATGGCAGCACTGCTACATTTGATTGAATATTACTAAGCAAAAGTCACTTTTAAGAACTGATATTGGAAATGTCATTTCAAATACTACAGAATACAAAGAAAAAGAGGTCCACGTTTTTAGCTGGAAATGGAGTCCTGGGCAAGGGTGCCTTCCTAAACCTGCTCCTTCTCTTAAGTCCCTATTCAGTAAGGGCACTCCAAGTATGAAACCTGAGAGTCAGTCATCTTGGGCTCCTCCCACTAAGCCAAATCCAGTACAAATCTACCTCCTAGGTATCTCTAATATCACCTAATTCATATCATATCATCTCAGTCATAGATGATATGATATGAATTAGGTATCCCCCCCGGGTCAATCCTTGCCTCTCCCCAGCCATAGCCTAACCTACTACCCAAATGGCAGGCGGTGACTTTTCTAAAACAGTCGGCAAACAAACAAAAAAATTCTTCTCTAAACCCATCAATGGCATCCCATGACCCTTGAAATAGAATCCAGACTCTATGACAACGTGTTTTACAATGCCCTTGGCAATCTGGCCGCTGGCTACCTCCGCAGCTTCTTTCTAGCCTTACCCTTTCGCACTCTGGGCGTTAGCTAAAATGGAGTTTTTTCAATTCTTTCACTGAATGTTCCCTTCACTCACTCACTTCCAAAGCTGTTGTTATTTGCCTAGAAGACTTCATACTCCCTTTCCCACTCTTCTCTTAGCTAACTCCTTCACGTCCTCACTTAGAAAGTTCCTTTACAGAATCTTTCCTGATTCTCATCCAGGGTATGGCAATAAATAGAAACCATAGACATAGTTTAAATGTGATTCTGAGTAACAGCCTTGGCACAGCGCAAGGATCATAGTAGGTACTTGACATACATAGGGGTCAAATAAATTGACATTTTAAACAAATATAATTAATACAGTGCCTGGCACTATGTTCTTGTTCTTGTTCTTGTTCTTCTTCTTCTTCTGAGTTGGTGTCTCATACCGTCGCCCAGGCTGGAGTACAATGGCACACTCCCGGCCACCCCAGCATCGACCCACTAGGGTCCGGCGATCCTTCCCCCTCAGACTTCCAAGTAGCCAGAACTACAGGCGTGTACTACTGCACCCAGCTAATTTGTGATTATTGTAGAGACAAGGTCTCGCCAAGTTGCCCGGGCTGGTCTCGAACCCATGGGCTCAGATAATCCGCTTGCCTGGGTCTCCCAAAGTGCTGGGATTACAGGCTGAGCCACCGAGCCTGGCTGTTATTATTATTATTATAAATTAATTCATAAGAAACTTTTAATTGTTCCTGCTGTTTAGTTGCATTACAGTCTATTATATTCTGTAAAATGTGAAAACATCCACAAAGATGCTGATAATATATTCATGGTAATGATCCGAGAAAATAATGATTAAGCCAGCTTTCTATGCAGTGAAGACTATATTGAATTTTCCCTCTCATTTTTTAACCCAACTTTTTCTAAAGATAAGCATTTATTTGACTTGTATCAACAGAAGATACAAAATCTAGAAAACACAGCTTCCTTTTTTTCTTAGCATATTTTCTTCGAATCTGTGTTTCTCATATATTGACATAAACTACATTATTAGATTTCCTAAATCAATAGCTTTTAGCTCCATATTAAATAAAACAACATTAGAAAGTAAAGTAAATTAAATGATTAAAATTACAATTTATAATTATCTGTTATAAATGGGAAAAACATGGTTACAATATTTTACACCTCCTCCCAATAACAGGTTGCCTCATCCCTTGAATCTGGACTGGATGCATGACTCGCTTTGGTTAATTTAATGTAGAGGATGTGATGCTGTGCAAGTTCAGAGTTGAGACTTTTTAAATCTTTACCCTCTCAGAATGCTCCTACCACTGTGCAAGTCCAGACTAGACTACTGAACAACGAGAGAGCTCAGACAACAAACAGCACCAAGGTTCCAGACACGTGAGTGAGAGCATCTCAGCGCCCCCAGCCCCATTTGAGCCGCCAATGACTATAGCCATGTAAGGGGTTCCATCTAAGCCCAATCAACTCATGAAATGACAAGAAATACACATTATGATTATTTAAAGCCTCCAAACATTAGGGTGGTCTGTTATGTAGCAAAGGTTGGACATTATCCAAATAAATTCTGCTATAAAATATAATGAGTATAAAAATCAACTTAAGAGCAAACCATAAGAAAGATAATATTATAAAAAGAGCCCTGACCCAAGGGGCAGGAGGAACTCTGTTTTAGTCTGGGAATATAATTAATGGCACAATCTGAAGGAAGTACTTAACCTCTCTGAGCTTTATTCTCTTTCTGCAAAGTGGTGTTGAGCAAGATGTTGGTCATGATTCTTTTCATTAATAGATATGAATGCTATGTGTGATTCTAACATATATTTCTAAGACTTAGAAAACAGCTGTAATGTTAATTCTCTTTACAAAGCACTAGAAATTTTCACTTTCCCCCTAAAGCCATATAACCGCATACACATAAAAAAGTTATCTTCCTCCCCTTACCTCACTGCTTCAGCATTCCAGAAAATGTATCTGTATATTCTCCTAATACTCTCTCCGTGCCCCAGTTATCACTATATTTCTCTTTTATACACAAAATTCCTCCAGAGAGTTCTGTTTACTCACAATCTCCAATTCCTCTCCTCTCACTGTCTCTTGAACCTATTCCAATGAGGTCATTTTTTGTCACCATTCACTGAGACAATTTTCTGTGTTCAACAATAGTCTCCATTTTGTTTAACTTAATGGTCAAGTCTTAGTCCTCATATTACCTGACCTATGAACATGTGACATAACTGATCATTCCTTTTTGTTTTATTCTGAAATACACAGAAAACACATAAGATGCATATTTAAAGTTTAGTTATAAGCAAATATATCCAGATGAAGAAATGGAGCATTACCAGGACCCCATAAGCCTCTCCCTCCTTCCATCCCCAAAAGTAGCCACCATCCTGATATCTGTGATGATGATTTTTCTTTTCTTTTCTTTTCTTTTTTTTTTGAGTTGGAGTCTCACTCTGTCACCCAGGCTAGAGTGCAGTGGTATGCTCACGGCCACCCCAGCGTTGACCTGCTGGGCTCCGGCGATCCTTTTGCCTCAGCCTTCCAAGTAGCTGGAGCTACAGGTGCGCGCTACCATGCCTGGCTAATTTTTTTAAATTTTATTTTATTGTAGAGACGAGCTCTTGTCAAGTTACCCAGGCTGGTGATGAACCCACAGGCTCAGGCAATCCACGCGCCTCGGCCTCCCAAAGTGCTGGGATTACAGGCTGAGACACCAAGTCCAGCCGATGATTTCTTTTTTGATGGTTATACAAAGTAATGCATTTATAAGCAACATAGCTTAGTTTTGCCTCTTTTGTAACTTTATGCATACAACATGCATCTTCTTACATCCTCCAATACTTGTTATCAGGTTTTTAAACTTTCGTCAATATGCTGCGTGTGTAAAGGCACCTCACTGTGTATTTAATGTGCAACTGCCTTAAGAGATTAAACATTCTTTTTCATATATTTAGTAATCATATCGATTTCCTCTGTTGTAAAGTGGCTATTTAAGTCTTTTCCCACTTCTTTATTGGGTTGTGTGTCTTTAAAATTGATTTGTAGATCTTTATATTCTGAATACTATAGCACATCATCAAATCTATATGACCAACAGCTTCTAAAGTATACGATTACAAGAAAGAAAAAAAAAGCCGGGCTCCGTGGCTCAGCCTGTAATCCTGCGCCTTTCGGAGGCTGAGGTGAGTGTACTGCCTGATCCCGTGGGTTCGAGACCTGCCTGGGCAACTTGGCGAGACCTCATCTCTACAATAAATCAAATATTAGCCAGGTGTGGTAGTGAACGCCTGTAGTTCCAGCTACTTGGAAGGCTGAGGCAGAAGGATCACCAGAGCCCAGCATCGAGGCTGTGGTGGCCGGGAGCGGCCACTGCACTCCAGTCTGGGCGACAGAGTGAGACTCCAACTCAAAAAAAAAAAAAAAAAAGAAAGAAAGAAAAAAAACCTGGCAATTATAACTGAAAGATTCCGTCTATTGAAGATGCATCCCATTTGTAGAGATGATTTAAAAAACTGTTGTAGTACTGATGAAGTACTCTAGTCCTTTATCAGACATATGTGTTGCAAATGGGGCATTTCTGTGAC